AGATAATTGTATCTTAACATATAATGAGTAAATTTTCCTAAATGACTAGAGATATAAAAAAGAAACTTATCATATATTTTTATGATAAAATAATCATTTTTAAGAGTTACAATTATTTAGTAGAATAAAAAAATAAGTCTTAAAAATATAATAAATTTAAAGGTTTTTACTTAAAGTAAAAAAGTAATTTATTTCTGAAAAATACATTTAAAATTAAAAAGAATAAAAAAAATTAATCTTAAAGTATCAATTCATGATACTGATTAAAAATAAGAAAGATTGAGTACATCTTATTATTTATAATTTTAATATAATATAAATAGTTACATTAATAAAAAAATTATATAATAAGTGTTTTCTAAATTTAAAAAGAGGTGGGGTTTTTAAAAAAATCAAATGAATACCTAAAAAACGAAAACTAAATATAATCAGTGTTTATGAAATTTTAACATAGATCAAAAATTTAAGGTGATTTGAAATAAAACAAAAAATATCCTAAACATCAAAAATAAAAATAAAATAATCCAATCAAATAAGAAACTGTGTAATAATAATATTTGCAAATGCTATTTGGAAATTAGAAGAGTAGTGGTATATTGAAGAGTTTTTAATTAGAAGTAAAAATTAAAGATTAAAAAATGTATTTTAAAACTAGAATGATTTATATGAGTTCGTAAGTTATGTTACGAAAATCAATATTAAAAATACTATATAGAATCATAATATACGTCAAATTATATATGTGAATTTGTTTTTTGCATTTTTCAAACGGTTAAAATAAAGTACAAAATTTGATGTTGAAATCTGATGTTTGTGAATATGAATGAGTCCATGTATGAGATTTGTAGTCTATAAAGCAATTTTACATGCACCTAACATGGTAAAAAAAACTATATGACAAATATCTCTCGGGATTTTTTAATGTTCACTTTAATAAAAAGATTATGCAACTTATAAAAAAATATGAGTATTGAAAGATATGAATGAAAAATATATATGATCTATCTTGAGAACTAATTCATAGTCGAGTATATTATATGTGAGAGAGTAGATGTCGGGAGACGACGAGTGAATCATAGAAAATAACAAGAAAAATTGTAGTAAAAAGTGTGAAAAAATATTTACTACCATGGAAAATAATGAAAATGAGTAAAGTAAATTTTTTTAAAAATTCAAATAATTCAAATATTCGCATTGATAACAAATTTAAATTAAAATCCCGCGCAACACGCGGGTACATAATCTAGTGTGTGGAAAATTGGAAAGGTTATATGGTGATTCCATTGCACAAGAATCTGAAGTTAAGACAACAACAATCTGAATCTGGTTTTATAATGTAATTTCAATAGGTTAATTTGGTGTTAGTTTGGTGTTAGTGTTGGTGTTGGTTTTTGTTTAGCTAACTGCAGAACAACAGTCTTTATTGCTTCTCCAAGACTTGGGTTCTCCCCATCAAATTTCTGAGAATGATAAAGAGACTATGGTGGAAAGAGCTAGCAAAGATTTCTATTCGTCAGTTTGCATCCAAAACATTTAGTGGTAAAGAAGTTTTGAAGAGGTTTTTACCAAGGCTCAAATACAACGAGGCCAAGCTCCTTAGAGACTTAATTCAACCCATTTTCAAAGAGAAAGTGAAGAAACTGCACGAGCTCCTTGGAGCAAAAAAGAAGGCTGCAGCTACAAAGGTATTTAATTAGTAAAATATGTCAGTCTCCCATTTGGAATTTTCAATCAGAAACAGTAAGAAGTGATTATAGTGATGGCTGGTTTTTGTTGCAGGAGAAGGACATGTTAGATCTAAACATTAACAAGAATGTTTTGCAGGAGGGTTTGGTTAGCATCACCTTGTAACAGTACATCACCTACAAAGGTATTTAATTACCCTGATAAGTTTTGCATGGTCAGTAAATCCAAGGAATTGGCTAGTTCCTGACAAATATTAGAACAAGAGATAAACTGTTAAGCTTGGCAAAACCAAACACACATATAAATACAATACTACAATGTTGCAAGTTATATTCGGTCTACACCAAGCAAGCCATCTAGTATTGGAATAGATGTTCACAGTTGGAGCCTAAGCAAGTTTCCACCAATTAACCTTGAGTCAGTGGGTCCTCAACCTGTTCTGCAGCATCGAACCTGAAGGCTCAAGTTGGAAGAAGTGAAGAACACAAAATGAACAAATCTCTCTGCACAATACAAAAAAACAAGAAGACAAAACAATGGCATGCAGAAAATGTAAGCACGTAAAAAATAGCTTTTGGAAATTTCACGGTGCAATAGAAATCTTTTTTTATCTTGAGTCATAGAAAAGGAAAAAGCCCCATTAGCTCTAATCAATCAGGCCAAGCAAGAGTTCACATTAGCTTGTTCATGTGTGAACTCTTGAGACATTTAGTTGTAATAGCATACCTGAATCTAGAACATCTAATAAATCAACATCTCTGCATTCTTCAACAATCGCTTTCACCTTTGTCTACGCAAATTAAATAATAATGATAATTTTGTGGAAGACATAAATTAATATTAATAAAATATTACTACTTGTAAAAGAATTAATTTAAATTTTTTGGATGTTTATTCTCCTAAATTTTCAATCTTCCATGTATTTCAGTATATAGTTGAAAGAAAACATTTCAAATAATTACGATCATCATTATTCCTTTTCTGTTTAGAAACAAGAAACCTATTATCCCTAATAAAACCCGCCTTTTCGTATATATATCATTAGAACTTGAGACTTGTTGCTTGAGAAACAAGAAACAAAAATAAAGATTGAGCCAAAGATTGAAGACGAATTGAGAAGCGATGACGACGTACGTGGATGAGTTATTCAAGAACATCAGTGAGCTACTAAATCCATGGGAAATGAGAACGTTCACTTCTCTGATTCAAGACTTTAGGTTTAACAGAATCGGAGAAACCGAACTCGATACTTCTCTTCAATTTTTGTTCGAGAAACACGAGGATCTTTATCAACGCTTCAAACAAGTTACCTCCAGTAGTGTTAAAGAAGACGATGAAGATCTCGAAGAAGGTGAGATTCGAGATGGTGATCATCCCAAGATTCAAGATGAGAACCCGAAAGAAGAAGATCCTATTCATGGTGAATCAAGAATTGAAGCCGATCGTGAGGTTAAGGTTGAAGTAGATGAGAACTTGGACGGTACAATCGAGAGACCTCTAAAGAAACGTAGAACTTCTAAGCGTTTAGAACAAGTAACACCTAACTATAAGCCTCTCCTCGAGGAAGAACAGTGGCCGGTCTCAAACACGGTACTGAATAACAAGTGTGTTTTGATGAAGAAATCTGTCAAGTTTGAAGATAAGAAACTAACCGGTATCGAAGAAGAAATGAAAAAATGCGAAGATCATATGTACGAGGTAGATATGTTAATGGAAGCTTTGAGAAGTGCAGTGGATAGTGCGGAGAAAGTTATGACGGGAGAGATGGAACTGGAAGATCTTGGAGGGAAGTTTTACAGATGTGTGGAAATGTTATATGGTGGAGATATGTTTGAAATAGTGACAGAAGATCACCAAAGAGCTTTACCTGTGATCATAAGGCGGTTGAATCAGAAAATGCGAGATCTCACGGCTGCAAGAGAAAGATTGAAACCTATCTGGAAGAAATTGATTGAAGAAAACTCTGCAAAGCAAAGAGATTCCTCTGCACAAGGCAACAGGAAAAAGTAAAGAAAATCTGAATCAGGTTTTAGGATGTAATTTATACAGGTTGATTTCGTTTTTGGTTTTATATTTTTATGAAACTATAGATCAAAATCTTTATCTTGCTATTTCTGTGTTACACCAGTATAATATATAGACCTAAACAGTCAAGAGTACTGTTGATCCAAACCCGCTGGGATTTTATATTTCTCAAGCAGCAAATTTTACAAGTTCATGTTCTGAAGTTGAGGAGTTTTATGAAATAGAGAACGGATCTTTAGAGTGCATTGTGTGTAACATGTTTGCGGCATTGAGCATATGACTAATGTTTGTGACATATGATATAGTTCTGAAGTAGTAGTTGTAAGGTTTGATGTGAAATCTCTCTAAGTTCTTAGGTTAGTTATCTTCACCGGGATCACAAGATAAGTGTACAAAAATTCATTCTGGATTAAAATTCTGCATGGTTATATTAGAATCTAAAAGTAATCAGTGTTTACGATAAGATCACATATAGAAATTTCATTTATGATTGTAATTTGTGTGATGGGAACATAGAAACAAGAGAACACCTCTTTTTCTCCTGTCCGTATTCGTCTCACGTCTGGTCAGCTCTCACACGAGACATGCTTGGGCAACACTACACAACACGATGGGAAACTCTGCTTCCTTTACTCACGGCTCCATCTACCTCAAAGCTACATTTGTTTGTTTTGAGATATGTGTTTCAGATTTCTATCCACAGTCTATGGCGAGAACGGAATGGGAGACGACACGGCGAGTCACCAACCCCAGCATCCATGCTAGCAAAACTGATCGACAAGAACGTGTAACCGGCTGAGCACCTTAATTACGACGGGCTCACCCACTTATGAAGGCGGACTGCGATATTGGTTCCAAACCCATAGTCGCTAGTTTTCTCTTCTTTATAATCCATCTCAAAAACTCAGATTTTTTCAGCTTGATGTTGCATTTATTGTAAAACCGTCTTTTTTTGGTGAATAAATTTTACATTCATACAAAAAAAAAAAAAAAAATTTCATTTATGGGACACTGTTAGTAACAAGAATCAGAAGATCCTTTGGTTGAGATATGTTTGATGCCTTAATTATTAAGCAACAAGAATCAACAAGAATCAGAAGATCCTTTGGTTGAGATATGTTTGATAAGACCTTAATTATTAAGCAACAAGAATCAGAAGATCCTTTGGTTGAGATATGTTTGATGCCTTACAAGACTGTAAACGATGCCGTATTGACTAAAGTTCTGTGTGATATCTCACTTTAGTTGCAACTTCTACATGATGCCAAAGTTCTATAAACTTACCACAGTATTCAAACAAAAACAAATATTATTAAAGAAATCACGAACAAGGAAACACAACACACAACATTCAACCATAAACTGATGATGAAAAGACGAGGAGGGAAACACAGAAACAACATTAAAGATTCAAGCTTAAACACAACGAAACAAAACGTTACTTCCTAAACATCTTGGAGCTACATAAGGACCAATCATCTTGATCTGTCTTAAGGAGAACCACCGCTTGAGCTTGGAACACCACCACCACTAGGTCCACCACCGAGTCCACCAGGGAACCCCATTGCACCACCTAAACCACCAAGCCCACCAGCCCCACCAAGGAGCGGCGTCCCACTCGGGAGTGGCAATGTCATGCCGGTGCCACCACTTCCACCACCTGGCATCCCTAGGAATCCACCAACTCCGGCAACACCACCAATTCCACCGCCGTAGATGAAGTTCTTCTGGTCCTCAAGAGGGGCATTGACCATAGGAGACTCAGCCTTGGTAGGAGCAGTGACTCCTCCATGGAGAGGCAAATCCTGAGTTTGCTGCAAAGTGCGAGCACTTGCGTGGACCAAAAGCAACGTAGCTGCAAAGAGAAGCACGATTTTGGTGACTGATGAGAACATCATTGCCATTTTGTTTAGCACTATCGATTCTTTAGAGATTTCAAACGAGTTCAGAGTTGAGATGTTCTGTTTTGATTTGAATGCATGCATGCATGGAATTATATAGAAGGAAAGAGACAGATTACAGTTGAAGATAATAAATTGGTTTTAGACTTAATTAAAGATGAAGAAAGTGTTAATGTCTTGTCCACAATGATCATTGGTCATGACAGTCCTCTTTTATGGGAAATGTACTGGTTTATGTATAGGGAGCTTCGTATGCACTAGAGTAAAAAACGATTTTTTATTTTTTTGATACGTTGAAACAAATCACTTTAATACGTTTGACTTTAACGTTTATCACTCTAATTAAAGTTAAGCCAATTTCCAAAACGCTCTCTTTAGGTAGCAGAGACTGAGCCAATGAAATGAAACAGTACTTTCAGAAGTTTATAGCCAATTGTCAATGCTATATTCGATAAACATTTACACAAATAGTTTTTGCTTCACCTTTATTGACTTTTTACTTTTTCACTTACAAATTTCCAATCCATCTTCTTCCAAGACAAACGGTGGTTGGGTCGTTTCAAGTGAAAAAGAAAAGAGTAAATTTATTATGGTCTCATTGAGGGAAACAATCTTCAATTCTTTTGATGTAGAAAAATTATAATGAATGGAAACCGAGCTAAACGTATTTACCAGCTCTAGCTCTCAAAAATGTATTTGGTGGTGTCAACAATTATAGTAAGATAAAAAATTTATCAAAGGTTCAAGGTTAAAAAAATGCAAAAAGTGTCAAATACATGCTTTTTTCATTGTGGCAAAATTGGCCACACGAAGAAAGAAAACATAAATTATAAGAAGAAAATAGATACAAACACAAGTGGTATGCAATATTATGTTGCATGTAAGTATGTAACCCAACAAATGTTCCAATAATATGGTCTATACTGATTCAAGAGTCTCATGAAATATCAATTTTTGGAGAATTGTTTTATGCATCAATATATTAATATGTTTTTGGAAGGTATGTGTTTATTAGTGAAAACTATAAAGAACTAGATTCAATCTTAAGTCACACTTTGTAGAGAAAACTAGAGAAATTATTGATTTCAAACCACCCAAAAAGGTACAATATCATGTCACCCTTTGCTAATCACAATTCCATAACATTACTGACTCACCTTCTCTCGTTCTATTCTTCTTCTTTTTTTACAACACAAATCTAAAGATTTAAAACGGTAATTAAAAAAATGAAAAGAAAAGCCCATTTCTCAAACAACACACAAAAGCTTTCTTCTCACGTAACCTTTAAACCTTAAAATCACTCGATTGAAGAAGAAGGAGAGTAAAGCAGAAAAGAAGCAGAGAAACTCGTGTTGTTACTCTTCACTAATCTTTCTTCTCGTCTCATCTCTTTAGAAGACGAAGCCGCAGCCGCCGAGATCATCGTCATCTCATTCTTACGACTTTCCTCTTGCATTGTTGTTGTTGGCGGAGGAGATTTCTTGAGAAGCAAGTCAACTTTCGCGTACTCCTCACGCTCTTGCTTGATCTCTTTCAGCATAGCCGCAACGTCTTTCATGGTGGGTCTCTCGTCTGGAGATGAGTTTACACACAGCAAAGCAGTTCCCAACACTTGCATCATCTCATCCGCCTCAGCTTCTGTTCTTGATCTCAATGTCGAATCAAGAACTTCGAGGCTACCCCTATTTTGCCTCACCCAATCCACTAAGTGAAGCCCTTCTGGTACCGTCGGATCTATAGGTTGTTTCCCGGTCAACACTTCAAGAACAACTACACCGTAGCTATAAACATCACTCTTCTCTGTAATCTTCATGCTATAACCATACTCTGCAAAAACACACAGAACCGGTCCGGTTTATGTATATGTAACGCAAAACAGAAACCAAAACGTAAGAAAACATCTAACTACATGACTAGTCTTAACTAACAATTTTCATGATTGTGAACCTAATATTAGCAAATGTTGCATTAGCCTTAAATAAACCGCGGTTGCTTATACACAGAAATATAAACGTAGGAACATACCTGGAGCAATGTAACCATAAGATCCAGCGACGGTATTAGAACACCGGCCAATATCACCTTCATCAACAAGCTTTGCTAAACCAAAATCCGCAATGTAAGGCTCGAAATCTAGACCGATCAAGATGTTGTTGGCTTTGATATCGCGGTGAACAATGGGTGGGAGGCAATCATGGTGTAAATAAGCTAAACCTTGAGCTGCACCAAGCAAGATTCTGTATCTAAGATCCCAATCAAGCGAAGACCCTCGTCTCTCGTGAAGCAAACTCCCTAAGCTTCCATTAGGCATGTAATCATACATCAAAAGCCTCGTGTTTCGGTTCCAACAACATCCGAGAAACCGAACTATGTTCTTGTGTCTAATCGTCCCAAGTGTCTTAACTTCTGCTGAAAACGAATCTCTCACGTTTTTGGTCTTCTCATCGTGACCACCATTAACCATCGCTGGCCAAAGCTTCTTCACGGCTATAACCTCGCCATTGTCCACATCAGCGCGGTAAACTACGCCTGAACATCCTTTACCAATCACATTAGGTTCAACCAAACATCTTATGATCTGATCTACAGAGAAATTCAGCTTCTGAAATGGTGTGAACTGCCATTTATATGTTTCTCCAAGCTCAGAATCCCTTTCGTTTTCGATGTTCCTTCTGGCTCGAATAACCGCAACCGCACCAAGAATCATCAACACAACCGTCAAGGTGATCAAAAGAGCGAGTGCTAACCTAAGCTTTCTTGTACGAGAAGAATCACCATCATCTCCAAGTCCATTACCCTTCCCATAGGTGAGAAAGCAAGAATCTTGAGTTGAAGAAGAGCAGAGTTTTTTGTTTCCTTCAAGATCTTGAAGAGGTAATTGTCTGAAAAGCTTGTTGTCTGGAAGATAACCAGAGAAGCTATTGTAAGAGATGTTAAGAGAGACGAGATTCTCGATATTGGCGAGTGGAGCAAGATCTCCTTCAAGCATGTTGTGGGAGAGATCAAGAATCGAGAGCTTGTTGAGAGACGCAATCTTTGAAGGAATCTTCCCTGTGAGTCTGTTACTACTCAGGTTTAACGCGATTTCAAGATTCTCGATATCTCCAAGCTCTGAAGGAATCTCACCAGAGAGCTCGTTGCTTCCAAGATCAAGAAGCTGAAGCCCTGAACACATCCCTAGAGAAGTAGGTATCGATCCGGAGAACAAGTTCTTGCTCAAGATTAGTTTGTTTAGTGACACAAGCCGCCCCAAACTCGCTGGAATCTTGCCTGAAAACTGGTTAGCTGAAACATCAAGAACTTGTAAACCGGAGAGAGAAGAAACCGGATTAGGCAAAGAACCTTCAAGAGAGTTATTACTGAGATCAATCATCTGTAACTCCGAGCAGCTTCCAATCTCATCAGGAACCTTTCCATGTAGCCTATTACTCGAAAAATCGAGAAAGTTTAGCTTCTTAAGCGAACCAATACCCGAGGGAATCTCTCCTGTGATCCTGTTGAAACCTAACCTCAATCTCACCAAAGAGCTGCAATTACCAATCTCTTGAGGTATAAAACCAGACAGAGAGTTTGAGATCAAAAGAAGCTTTGTGAGGTTCCTTAGCATAAACAAACCGGAAGGGATTGTCCCGGTTAGCGAATTACGCGACAAATCTAATGCTTGGAGATCAGTACATTCTGCTAAACCGGGAGGGATGCTTCCTTCTAGCTGATTAGACCAAGCAAAGAACAGAGTAAGCTTTGTGAGTGTTCCAAGCTCGGACGGTATTAGACCTGAAATCTGATTCTTATCGAGCTGTAACTGGACAAGACTCGAACAGTTCGAGATTGTTGTTGGTATTGAACCGGAGATTTTGTTGTCACTGATCATAAACTCTTCAAGAAAAGACAAACGCCCAATGGAGGTTGGAATGGAACCAGAGAGGAGATTTAAAGACAAATCTATCATTTTGAGATTGCTGCAGTTTCCTATTTCTTCAGGGATACCACCAACGAGACTGTTCTGCCATAGAAACAGCTGTTCGAGTTTAGAAAGCTTTCCGATTTCTCGAGGGATTGAACCAGACAAGCTATTCTCGTACAAGAAGAGATCAACAAGCTCAGAGCAATTCCCTAAATCTGAAGGAATCTCTCCACTTATCATTGTTGTGTATATCGAGAGTGTTTGTAGCTTCTTGAGCTTACCTAAGGAAGAAGGCAAGTTTCCGGAGACGCTTGTTTCAGCTAAACCAAGAACTGTTAGATTGGAACAATCTCCGATCTCCGGTGGGATTTGGCCGGAGATTTCTTTGTTTCCTCCTATTCTTATCACTTCGAGGCCAGAGAGCTTCCCTAGCTCCAGCGGGATAGGTCCGGTGAGAAGATTGTCGAAGAGAATCAAGCTCTTGAGTTTCAAACACTTGCTGATATCTGGTGGGATTTTTCCGGTGAGTTGGTTAGAGTTGAGGATTAGGGTTTCTAGGTTACGTAGCTTGCTTAAACTCCAAGGAATGTCACCAACTAAACCATTAGAGCTAAGATCAAGAACCGTGAGACCAAGGCAGTCACCGAGACTCTCAGGTAAAGTTCCGGTGAGATTAGCGCCAGAGATAGTGAGTTTCTGGAGAGAACGTAACGCCGGGAGATTCTTCGGTAAAGAGAGCTGAAGAGGGACAGATTCAATGTCGATGTCGGTGACGAAACCTTGAGGAGAACAAGTAATAAAAGTCCAGTTGTCGCAAGGAGTGTTGTCTATAGAGTTCCAGTTGAAGAGAGGAAGAGAAGAAGGTGTAGGAGAAGAAGAGTGAAGCCATGAGTAGAGAATAGAAGCTTCCGGGTTTTGCTCTGCATCAGAGAGAGAGAAACAAAAGATGAAGAAGAAGAAGAAAGAGAAGAGAAATGAAGAAGAAGAGAAGAAGATTAAGGAATGAAGAGACATTTGCCTCAAAATACGAAAAGAAGTTTAAAATCTTGGGTTTAGACCCATTTAGGGTTTGGTGCCTTCTTTCTCTCAATCTCTGTGCTTACTCTTCTCTCGATATCTGTTTCTTGCTTGAATTAAACTCAAGCATAGGAAGAGAACATAAGAGGGTTTAAGTTCTTCTAATACGTGTGTGTGTGTGTTTTATCAAAATCTAAAATAATGGAGTGGCGATTTAAGAGAGGAGAAAGAGTACAAAGGAAAATAGGGAAACACAATGCCTTGAGATCAACAAAACTGCACCACCCCACCTCTTTGCCACCTCACCTATTATGCCCTATCTCTTCTTTACTTACTAGTATATTTTAGTATTATTGTTATACGAATACAAAAAGTATTAATTTCTTATTTATACACATATACATTGCGTGGAGAGTAGAAACTTATCTAACAAAACGAAATAGTCTTAAAGTGATATATCAAGTAAAATAGTCTAATATATTTTGTTAACGAATTTGTAAAGGTAACCGAAAAAAATTGGATTAATTAAAATGCTACTCTTCAATATGGAGATATATTCTATTTTTTATTATATATAATTTCTAATCTATATAGATTTTATAAAAATATAAATTTAAAATATATTTACAAGTTAAAAGATGACCTGAGCAACACATATATTTTGTATCCTATATATGGAATACCATTGCTTCAGAAAAAAATATATATATATATTTATAAAAATTTGTAGACGAAATATGATAAATGCATACAAAAGAACCACAAGTTATGATTTTGAGGATATATACAAAATTCCATACAAAAAAGAAAGAAACCAGATTATCATATAGCTAGGATTATAGAACATAGTTATCTATGTATATGCTTATTGTTGGGTATGTGCATTGTAACTTATAGTTTAGGTGAATTGTGTAACGTATATACTTATTTCTTATTTTACTTCCACTTTTTCGAATATTTCTAGTTTTCGATCTAATCATGTGGTTGACGTAAAGTAAAAATTACATAAGTTTAGTTTGATCTCTTATAACTAAGATGAAGTAAAACTAAAACAAGCCAAATTAGGCCTAATTATTTGAAAAGTGTAAATATTACTTCGAGATAGAATGTTTTATCTACTAATATATAACATCTTAGTTTATACAAAATTAACTAGTAGCTCATACTATCATCGAGATTCCAACAGTTTTGAATTTACTGAACTCATTAGCCGTCTGATATGCTTAGGTATATTTATGGCCTTATGGGTATAAATATTTTTATTTATGTTACTGTTGGAGTTAAGATTGTTTTAAGGAAATTATTTATAGCTTAATCCACTTACAGTAAACGAGTGCGTTTGCTCAAACCCCAAGCAAGTGGTTGAATCGGTGATTCATTTTTATTCCCTTTGTTTTTTGCTTGAGTATATTTTATTGGATAAGTTAAGTAATACTCTAGTAGCTTACTGTTTCTTTCTATAGTTGTTATCTTCTTGACTTTAAGTAAAACCAATAGAATATAAAACTTTGAACCGAAATGTAATCTTAAGAAAGAAAAACAAAGAAAAGGTTACTCTATAGTCATATATTTCCTCCGTTTCAAAATATAAAGCGTTTTAGCTAAAAACACGCTGATTAAAAAGATCTATTTTTTAAAAATCCGGCCAATCATAAAAAAGACTGCATAATAAAAATAATTATAAAATATTAAAGTCATACTCCCTCTGTTCCTAAAAGATTGATGTTCTAGAGTTTTCACATATATTAAAAAACAATCATTGTTTAATTATTTGTCAATTACTTTTTTATACTAAATATTTTTTAATAACTTTGAATCAATAGTATTAGAAAACAGTAAATCATTACGTCTTGAAGTTTACGATATATTAATTTTAATCAATAAAAAATAAAACAAAAACCTAAAAAATCAAACTTTGTGGAACAAACTAAAACTCTAAAACATCAAATATCTAGGAACAGAGGGAGTATATAATTTGCATAGAAATTTGAAAACGACTTGTATTGTGAAACAAAAAAAATTCTCCAAAACGCCTTATATTTTAAAACAAAGAGAACAACAAATATTTTATTGCTCTCTTGCTACACACATTAAGAATCCTTTGATTTAGGATGACTAGACTTGAACCCTTTGCTAGATCCAATGAATTTTCATATTTTTTTCCCATTTCTATTGGTTAGTTATCTAATTGATCCTGAAACTACGCATACATATACAATATGAGAAATAAAATCATTAAAATAATCTCGTGTTTATTATGTTTCCTTTCCGAGTTTCTATTACCTCTTTTTCAAAAATATTTTAAGATGTAGCTTGACTTGTTGTCAAATTTCTATTCATATATTTAAAATAAACACCAGTAGCAGATTTTAAAGCTTATAGTTATATAAAATGTTGACCAAAAAACGTATGCAAAAAGAAAGAGAGTACTTGTGATAGAAAACTTACTAAAATAATACTCCCTCCGTTTCAAAATATAAGACGTTTTGGAGAAACTTTTTTATTTCAAAATATAAGTCGTTTTCAAGTTTCTATGCAAATTATATATTACTTTAATATTTTTTTATTATTTTATTATGCAGTATTATGATTGGTTGAACTTTTAAAAAGTAGATCTTCTTAATTGGCGTGTTTTTAGCTAAAACGCCCTATATTTTAAAACAGAGTGAGTATTAAGAAATAGGTTAAGCAAATGAGTGGGTTTAGGTATAGGGAGGGGAGTGTAGAGGACAAAACAACAATCCCTGATTTTGAGGATACCTCACGTGACCACACCAAGCCTCACTCGTTCTCACCTACCCTAATTTTCCATTCTCATGATTCTTACCTTTATTTTACTTTAATCTTTTTTTTTTAAAACTCCAATTTGATTAAATTAAATTCCCAAATTGTATTTTTATTCTCTTATTACTTATTAGTAGCATTTTATCATATCAAATATCGAGTTTATTACATCCTATGATCATTGCTTTCCTTCTACTTACTTTTTCCAAAACATGTGCTCATATTTTTCTGTCATAATTTTGTTCTTGTTTAGTTGTATTTATTTTCCAAAAAATACATAAATTAGTAAGTATGTATGCAAAGTGTGAACTATGGATTTTTATTTACCGGCACATGACAGACATTGAAATATTTTTCCATCATATATTCATATACTTTTGAAAAGATTAAATAACTTAAGCAAAGTGCATAAAATAATTAGCGCACCATGAGCCATTATTACAAGTAAACAAAAGAAATAAAGGAGAAAAAGACCATAAGAGTCTTAAACGGCGCAGTTTTAGAAATAAAGAAATACTGTGTTGCCTTGTTTCAAGGGTCTTTGCCTCGAGAGTCTCTCCTTGTGCGAATCTCTCCATGTTTTTGTTTATTTTCCCAAAATGTTCTTTTTCTTTTTAACATTACCACTTACTTACTCCCTCAATTTTATATATAAGCTAATGAGTAATTAAAGATTATACTTAACTTTCTGTTTAAGATTATATAATTGTTTTTAGTATTTTGAAAAACAACACGTACTAATTAACTTTTGAAGGAGTCAATCAAACTTAGAATTCGGCTTATTTTAAAAGGGAATAAGATATTCTCAGAGGACCTTAAGTTTAAGAGGAAACATAATGGGCTACTGATGGGCCTATCTTAACCGGATCTAGGCCCACTAGTTTACCAAGTAATCTCACTCCTCATCCAAATCAACTGCAAAAACACATGGAACAGAACATAGAAGAACAAAACAAATCATCTACTATCTTTAGCTGCAAACATCACAAGCAATCAACTGTCTTAATTTCATTAGCAAATGTATTTTTTCCTACAAATCACTAACCAAACACCGTAAGGGGTGATAGATTAAAAAAAAAAGAAGACCTCGTAAACCCCAAATTAAAACCAATAGGTAAAAAACACAGAGGATTGGAGAATGGATCAACGCTTCTTGTGCTTGCTCATATATTGTCAAGCCGAGGTTGACCAAACTCTCTACCATTCAAAAGAAGAAAAAAGCTTTGCACACTTGCTAATACGTGTGAAAGGGGTTAGGTTTTTTTTTGTATACTTAAACTAATAATAGTTTGAGAGAGTGATGTTTTACTAGTAGCAAGGTTTGCCTCTGCGGCAACCAAGTGCACCTGCACTAGCAGTGATTGAGTCCACCATTGAGGCTGATTTAGCCGGTAAGCTTAAAGTTTGTGCATAGTCTGCTGATGCTCCTTCCCCTGATGGTGTAAAAAAGGCTCCATTCACTAGAAGGTCTTTTTCTGATCTCCAATTCCACTTCATCCACTCATTTGTTTTTGTGTCTAATCTTTTTGTCACCTGTCCAGTTTCATATTTTGGAGTTAAAGATCCATTTTCTCTGTTTATAAGCAAGCAAAAACACGGAAGAATCGAACCTCCTTGGCGGAGCGGTTATTGGGAGCAGCATATCTATTGCCTTGACTGTTTATAGTTGGGTTTGCACTTCCTCCAACAGCATACATTTTCCAGTGTGTGTAATCGTTGTTAACCACATGGAAATAACCATGCCTGCACCTACATAGAAATACTCAAATGTCTTTCTTAACTTGTAGTGCAAGTTATACGCCTAATTAAACACAATGTGACATTGTAGATGTACCTTGGCATTCTCTGTATAAGCCCCTCTCCAAAATGGTTGTACGCAACTGTCACTTGCATCAGCTTGTCTTGTGTGTACGAGTCTTTGTGCCCTAGCAACATCACCTGTTCACACAATTTCATGATCAAGAAAAACAGAGTTTTACAAAAATAAAGGAGAAGACTTTAGCTGTTTGATTGACCTCATCGTGGTGAGTGAAATGGTTATTGGAAATGGTAATGGCAGTAGAACCCATGACAACATCAACAAGACCATCAGTACAGTGAGAGAGAGAGTTGTGGTCGATCCAAATATGACTTGACCCAAATATATTAATAGCATCACCATCAGCCGTTCCCCTAAACCCGGCGTGACTTGGCGAGCTTCTGACAGTTACATTCCCCGTTCTCTTGCAATCGTGAATGTGCAAGCCATGAATGATAACATTGGTTATAAACTGGATTGTTATGCAAGCACCATTGGCAATATGGACGTTAGCACCACGAGCATCAATGGTCTTGAAACTGTTCATGATCAGTTCTTGTTTCAACTTTATCACCATGTCTCTTTTAAAGATGATCCATAATGGCTCAACCTGGATCACGGCGTGGCGTAAAGTTCCTGGCTTTGGATTTACAACGTCCTCATCACTCGGGTCAGTGACCACATAGTAACTTCCATTACGACCACCATTAGCTTTACTT